GCAGTAGATCTCTAAGGACATCATTTATGCAGGAGCATTACACAGTCCAAAAGGCATGACTAGATACTCGTAATGCCCACTGCGTGTATTGAACGCTGTCTTCCATTCATCATTTTCTTTTATCCGAACCAAGTTGTAAGCCCCCCTGAGGTCTAGTTTAGTAAAATATCTAGAACCTTTAACACGGTCAAACAACTCAGTAATGAGAGGGATAGGATAAGCATTTTTAATTGTTATATTATTCAGGCCCCTATAGTCTATACATGGTCTCAAATCGCCCTCCTTCTTGGCAACAAAAAAGAAACCAGCACCAGCCGGAGAGGATGACCATCTGATAAAACCTTTACGTAAGGATTCCTGTATGTACTCCTCCATGACCTGGTTTTCTTTCTCAGAAAGCGGGTAGACCTTACCCCTAGGAGGCATCGTTCCAGGTAACAAATTTATGGCACAATCATAATCCCGGTGTGGAGGTAGTTTATCAGCTTCCCTCTTTTCAAAGACCAATGCGAGGTCTGAATACACAGGAGGGACAGAAACAGAAAGTGGTTTAGCTGTAGGCACATTAAGTAAACAAACGGGATGTAAACGGGCCATACAGTCTCGTTGACAAGATACCCCCCAGGAGAGTATATCTAGAGAATCCCAGTCGAGTACCGGGTTATGCTTAACTAACCAAGGAAAACCCAAAATGATGGAGGCTGTAGGGGAGTCAATTATTTGGAAGGCTATCCTTTCTTTGTGTAAGGCACCCATGACCATAACCATTTCTTGGGTTTCATGGGTCACCAGAGGTTTATTAAGTGGTCTACCATCTATGGCCTCAATGGCCAAGGGTGTGGCCTTTTGGATCAGATTCAAGGCTGCGGTTTTAGCAAAGTTCTCATCCATAAAGCTGTCTGCAGCACCTGAATCGATCAAGGCTTTAGTTGTTATCGTGGTTTTATTGACCAAAAGAGAAACCGTTATAAATGGTCTGGAGATGGACATATGAGGGGAAAAAACCATAACACCCGAGGCCGACCCTTCTCTAGGCCTTAGGTGCTGGAGTTTCCCTGCAAACTAGGACAGTTTCTTCGGAGATGCCCCCTCTTACCACAATAAAGGCACACACCCTCCCTTCTGCGGTACGTTCTTTCAGCTTCAGATAAGCCTACAGCACCTAATTGCATGGGTTCGGGAGGTGGTTGATTAGGAGGAGGTAATGCAAGCAATGCAGTACTGGGTAAAGCAGGTAACCCCTGTGTATTCATCCTTCTCTGACTACGCCTCTCTCTAATACGGTTGTCAATTAGAATGACATAATCTATAAGATCATCCAGAAGAACAGGCATTTCCCTGGATGCTATTTCATCTAATATGTAAGCAGCCAAACCCTCCTGAAAAGCTGTTACGAGAGCGTCGTTATTCCAGACCACTTCAGCTGCCAAAGTGCGGAATTCAATGGTATAATCCGCTACTGATCTATTACCCTGTCGAACCCTAAGCAGAGCTTTGCCAGCAGAAGCAACCCGGCCGGGTTGGTCAAACGTACGTTTAAAAGCTGTTAAGAAGTCTGAAAAGGACATTGGGGACGTATTCTCCCACATGGGATTAGCCCATGCTAGTGCTTTCCCAGACAAATGGTTAATCAAAAAAGCAATTTTGGTTCTGTCAGTGGGGTAGGAATGAGGATTCATCACCAAATGAATATCAATTTGGTTGAGGAAACCACGGCACAATGCTGGATCACCGCTATAGCGCTGAGGTGGCGTCATGTGAACCACGTGAGCAGGAGCGGGTACTGGATCAGGAATGGGTTCTGGCACAGCAGCAACAGCTTCTTGGACGGCAGGTTGCAAGTGGGCAGTACGAGCCAGTATGGTTTGTAAAGCCTGGGCAAACTGATCCATACGGTGGTCTAAACCGTCCATTCTAGCCTCCTGATTAACTAACAGCTGTGGAATGTCAGCAGGTTCCATGGTGGCCCTGTTGTAATGTCACGATTCGTGGAACTTAACACGCTGGCACACACACACAGAAAAGGTGCCGTACCGGACCTTAGAGTAGCTGGGCTAAGCACGCTAAGAATAGTCAGGAGACAAGCCAGGTAAAGGGAGCCAGAAAACAGGAGAACGAGAAACAAGCCGAGGTCAAAGGAGTGGAGAAGACAGAATAATCGGAATAACGAGCCAAGTAATCGGTAACCAGAGAGCAAGACGAGAACACTACGCTACAGGTATCACAAGACCACAACAGGGCACTGAGGGACAGGAAAGGTAAGTATAAATACCCTTGGTTTAATTCTGATTGGATATCTATACCCCCCACTGTGATTGTGGTACTGTTTCTTTAACGCCGGGTCACTCATGTGACCCTGGCGTTTACATAATTCATTGACCTCCCAGCGTGCAGCGTTATACATGCTGCCGCTGGGGGGCGTGGAGGACGCAGGTGGCGAGCGGCAGAGAGGAGACGCCGCTCTCCGAGAGGTAAGCAGAGGGGAGACTGCGGGCGGCGATGGAGTGAGGGTGAGTGCTGCAAGCGGCGTGCAGCCTCCCCTCCTAGCCGTCCGCGGATCCCTGACATAATGGTGTATATATTTGTATTTCATGTGCACTATCACTATCTTGATAAAGACCCTGAAGGGTCGAAACGTTGATGTAGATTTGTGTTAAGATTGCCAATACACGTTTGAAAAATCCAAGTGAGTGCTCCTGTTTCTACCTTCATATCTACTGGCCTGGAGGCACCCTGGTAACATTACTATTTTTGTTCTTTTGGGGTTGAGTGCCAGAGTCTGGACTGCTACATAGTGATATATACATATATACTTATGTATGTAAATATATATTATTTCGTTCTACATGTATTTTGATATCAATATATATATATTAATTTTAAAATAAAGTTAGAACGAAATTACACATGTATATATATTTTTTATTTATTTTTTAACGTATTTACATATTTATTTTTATTATATATAAATATATATAATAAAAATTATATATATATTTAATCAATATCATTGTACGTGTATTTTGATATTAATATATATATAATTATATATATATATATATATATATATATATATAATTATGTACACTGTTTTTTACCATTTATTTATTTTCAGGCAGCAGGGGGAGTACCTGTCATTACAGGCACTCCCCCTGCTGGAAATGCCTTGGACGGCTATGACGTCCATGTGATCGGGAGATCCTCGCGATCACATGGTCCAGGGGGGCCGAAGAGGAAGGAGGGGGACTCCCTGGGCTCCCAGGTGAGTCCCCATACCGCGATCGCCGGCGACCGGGTAAGTACATAAGATCGCAGAGCATTCTATGCCGCCCTGCGGCTTTTAGAGGCATCAAAATAGGGATGGCATAGAACGCCCTGCGGTCTTAAGGGTTTAATCCAATACAGAACCAGAATCCTGGGTACTTTATTTGCTTTTTAACAGCTGAGAACAATACAGCATCCCTTCTATAGTGATGTCGCGAACCGTTCGCGAACTTGCCGGCGACCGGGTAAGTACATAAGATCGCAGAGCATTCTATGCCGCCCTGCGGCTTTTAGAGGCATCAAAATAGGGATGGCATAGAACGCCCTGCGGTCTTAAGGGTTTAATCCAATACAGAACCAGAATCCTGGGTACTTTATTTGCTTTTTAACAGCTGAGAACAATACAGCATCCCTTCTATAGTGATGTCGCGAACTCCGGTCAGCTGACACATCCCTGCCAATCTCCGGCAGACCCTCCCTCCCAGACCCTCCCACCTCCTGGACAGCATCCATGTTGAAGCTGCCAGAGATTGGCAGGGATGTGTCAGCTGACCGGAGTTCGCCGCGAACGGCTCGCGACATCACTACCCTTCTACTCAAGTACTAAAACTTAAATATTTCAAGGTAAGGTGTTTTCTTTTACTCCAAGACTGAACTAAAATTCTGCTTACTTTACTTTCTTAGGAAGAGCTAAGAACAAATATATATATATATATATATATATATATATATATATATGTGTGTGTGTGTTGTGTGTGTTGTGTGTGTATGTATTCAAGTACTGAAATCTGTATTGTTCAAGGTTAGAGAAGGGTTCTTTTTACAACAAGACTGAAGCTAAAACAATGAATTTGGACAGCTGGTTAGCGGAAAGAACTATGAGGAGAAAAATGATTACTAGTTCTAATTTTTCAGCATTTATAGAAACTGAGAAAGAAGATTAAACAAGAAATCAAGAAAACAGGTCTGAAATTGTTGAATCTACCGTTCCTCAAACAGCAGAGACAAATGACAAGTTGAAGAAAATGAGAAAAGCACACAATGCTACAATGCTTCTCAAACATTAAACAAAAATATGACAGCTACTTGTCGTTTTGATTCACAAGTGCCAGAAATGAACATTGTCCTTATGCACCATGGTTACTTTGCAAGAAAATATTGCCAAACAGTTTGTTAGCACGTGCTAAATTACGTCGTCATTTTGAGCAAAACTACACAGAGTACAAAAATAAAGACATTTCCTATTTTAAGTGAAAGCTTCAGAAATAAAAAGAGTAAACAACATTTTTAAGTCCATTCATACAAGACAAAACAAACAGTTTTTCTAACATAGATTTTGAGAATTTGATCGATAAAACATCTGACAGTTAATTAACCCCAAAATTTCAAGAAGCTTCTATTACTGTTTTTGGAGCAATTTACTCAAGGAACACACAGAGTTGTCGCACTGGGCAATGAAAGTTCAGTTGCCATTTGCCAGCACATAGTTGTGGGAAAGTGTATTCTTGCTTTACTCTGCAACCAAAACTAAGTGTTGAAACTGACTTGAAGAAATTGCAGACATGCAAATACAATTGTCAACAACTAAATCAGATAGAACAATTTTGACAAAGAATGAAAACATTCTGCACACTAAAAGGCATGTGCTACAGCGCAAACATTTTTGGGAGTTCCCACAATGTTGGTACACTATGTCAAAGGGTTCCACAGAAATAAATAATTGGGAAACACAGGTGGAAATAGTTTCTTAAATTCTTCTGCCTCTTTTCAGGATGTTTACAATCATTGTTAAGCACATATACAAGGTCTTCATGTATAGGAAGTTTCAGTTTTTATGCACATATGTTGTCTCCAACAGGATTTTCCATATCATTGTACTTGTAACTAAACATGATAAGATTGTGACTTTTCCCCACCAGAAAAGATGCTAACTCGTATACCCATTGCTCAGAGATGGATGGTAAGCATGCAGGCTTCTCCATGGGTTTATGTACCAAAGCTGAGCTGAAGTGGAGATCTGTTAGGAAACATGATCTGATGCTCTGTGAAAAGATTAGATTTATGATTTGAATCACTATCACAAAACAGATGCAGAATCTTACTCATGTCTCTGACATCAGTCGTATATGTTCAGTGACGTATATTTCTTTGTAATTTTGCAGATTTGAAATTAAGCAGTTTATATTTTAGAGTATGTCTACTTTTTCAGTTCTTTTTCTTTAGTTGAACTTAAAAATGATTATAAGCTAAAATGTAAAAAAGGGATGTGTCAATCATCTGGAAATATATCTGCTTGGCTGCAAGAACAAAATAGAACACTAAATTAAAAAATAATTGCTTGGATCTGGCATGGCCACAATCAAATATGTGAGGCAGTAGCAATGTAGCTTCTTGTCTGGTGGATGCTGGAGAAGTGTCAGAAACTGGTGGTCAAACAACTACAGGACAAATAAATGTCAGACTGGCTATCAAAAACCCTTCTAAATGTTGACAGTACAGAAACACTGAAGTGAATTAAAAGACTGCTAATGGTGTCATGGAAATATCATGGCCTAATTGCATAAATCTTTCAGAATTCTGTAAAGTAGTAAATAGCCATACAAGGAACAAAATATAGTATGAAAACAAAGATCTTTAAACATAGTAGATGCATCATTAGATATGAGGGAAAAAATTATCAGTAAAAAAACGTATTTTTTTTAAATCAAGAGGAAATATATAATGCATTTCCTTTATTAGAACAAATTAAGTAATATGTAACAGACATTGCAAAAAGGAAACATCAAGCACCACTTGATAAACCTTAATCTACAAAAGTGTATGAAAAAACTAAACTTTCTATGCTATAATATATAATTTATTCAATTCAATTTACATTAGTAGTTCATGGTAAACTCAGAATTGACACAGAACAGATATCTGGAACAATGTCCATTTTGTGCATGTGGCTAGTATATGCTGCATGAACAATACTGAAGGCTCAGCCAATAGTGAAACACAGTCTGGCTCAGTAAACAATTAAACAGGCTGTATATTGAATGGTAGCAACAGTATTGCTATCCATTTATAATACGGTTCCAAACAACCTACGTGATGATTGCAGCTTTGGAATACTTTTGCCATATATTCCTATTGGACATAGTTTTATGAGATAAGGTCTGTCCCCATAGACCAGGATAAGATACTCCTGATTGAAGCATGTCATCCTGGTATGGGAGGGATCAGCCTGCAAACTAATAGGTGCTCCAATAAACAAAATTCAGTTATTGAACTTATTTATTTTTAATGTTATATTTTGGAATATTTTAATACAGTATTTGTACAATGTATAAAAACATATGTATGTATATATGTTGGGTCATTTTAAACTTCACATTATTGAGAAAAAGTTTTTTGGGTAAAGTTGTATCTGCATGAATGTTTCTCCTAATTAATAAAAATGCAGATATCTAATAAGGCTAGTCTGCCTTGACTATTTTGGAGATGCAAGCTCGTATCAGGAGTCTTCTGATGTATTTTGGACCATATTATGCCATGACTACATACAATCCTGCAAAATATTAACTCTATGATATAAGCAAAACGAAAAACACAAAGTATTAGTAGTTCTTGAATAAGATTTAATAAGACAAAAACTGTAAGTGCTTATGGTTTGGTTTTTTTTAGCATTAATTTGCTTTTTCAGTAAAATATTGTCTTGCAATTTCCTTATAGTAATTAGTTTTAAACTAAAACTATTCAATACTGTTCCAGTGGAGAAAGTAAGCGGATAAATCTGACTTGTGATATAGACATGGAGATATATAGATATACATGCAGTTCTAGGAACAGCTAAGATACTGCGCAGAATCCTCAGACCTCCAGGCCTCTGTTAGAGGACCCAGGAATAAGGAATAAATACAACACCCAGAAGGGTTGAGAAAATCAATTAGTATATATATATATATATATATATATATATATAATTTTCTCCATGATACATCTTATATAAACACAATATAAGGATCTGTCAATTACAGCAAAAATAAGTTTAGTAATGAATTTTTCGTTTTTACAGAGCATAATTTAATATATTCTTAACCATCCACAGTTTTCAAGTTTCAGTTTGAAAATAATAATTATTTGATGACCTACAAAGCAAGTAGACAGGAAAACAGTTGTATAATAGTAAGAATCATTCTAATAAATGTTATAGCAAAATATGTTACAAGTTGTTGAACCATTTAAAATACTATCAAATGCAGACTGTTTTTCATACTTAAGTACCTTACGTTGTTTCAATGTGTACTTTAACCATTAAAGGGACTTTAACCACTTCACTACCAGAATTGTGTGGAAACATTTGTACTTTCATGTATTTTGCAGAATCAAGTTTAGTTCAAAGAACCTTACTCATCCTCATTTATCCTCTGGAATGATTACTTGTGGAAAAACTAATATTTATGTCAAAAGCTCCTGGTCAGTTATATAATGCTTGCAAATTAGCTGAGCATGTCTGCTCATCCTCTCTTACCAAACCGTAAAATGAGCTTCAATGAGGCATATCATTCCTACAGTCGGGAAAGAGTGAATGGACTGTTAGAATTACATTAGCAATCCAGAGATTGATTAAGATTGCTACTGAAGTTTTAAATACTTTTGTTTCGGACATGTATGATTTAGCTGCATTTAATGTATGCAGATATTCTTTTTACGAGCTGCTGTCATTTTCAGTAAGCTGCCTGGCTAGTAATGCCTTCAGGGCCCTTACAAACAATTACCTACAAGCATGGTATTTGACAATATTTAAACGATTTTTGTGACAGACAAATTATACTGTATACTGTTTAAAGCTTTTCATTTACCAAATATTTTTATAGAAGATGAACGAATAAGTGCAGAATAAAAACTGTGTAAATTGACAATGTTTTTTATGTTTGTCTGCAAAGCAATATATACACAAAATTGCTGTATTATAAAATGTTTATATGCTAGATATGCACCCCTTGCTTCAAATAAATATTATGCTATATCTTAATCAAAAAGTGCTCGGTAGTGAAGAGGTTAAAATAGAATTGTTATAATTTACTAAAATGAAAGATAACTGAATGTATCATTCTATAATGCATACTTATTATACCTCTTTTAGTGCATAACCTGGCCTACCCTCCTCCCTTGTGCAAGCTGCAAAAATATTTAAACTTTATGGTTGGAAGTACCTGCATCAGACCAAAGACAATACAAGTAATAGAGTGCTAATGCATGTTCATGAATTCTAATACATGAGAAAATAAAATGCACCATAAAAATCTTCAAAGAGGTTTCCTTTTTAAATTGCATATGGTCTTTGATTGAACATGATGGCTGTCCAAAGTGAAAAAGCAGAGCCAAGAGATGTACTGATTTTAAAAAAAGCTATTTACTTTGATCTATTTACAGAATAATACACAAAGAGGCTATGTAACACGTAATATTTTATTTCCAACTATAATAAAAAGTTTTTTAAAAAGTATGACATTTTTCTTTTAAGGATGCAACTCCACAATGGAATGTCTCATTCATTTAGAGACAACTGAGTTCTATAGAGACAATTAATTAATTATAGCATGAAGTCTCGGGGACCAGATTTTGACGTTGGCAAAAATGTAATTGGTCCTTAAGGGGTTAAACAATACTAACATACCAAACCCAAAATGAGTGTTTTCAAATAAACAGAGTAGTTTACATTTTAGGAATGTAAAACAACAACTTTCATGTACACTCAGTAACCCGATTTAGGAATGTTTTAATAAGAATATGTATGGTTAAAACAAGAAAAAACAGGATATATATATATATATATATACATATATATATATATATATATATATATATTTATTTATTTAATTTTTTTTTTTTTAAACTGTCACATCAAGATGAAATACATGTCAACAGATTTATTACATGGGGCCAGTAAAAGAATGAAAAACTTCCAGTTTTTAATATGCCATAGTGTAAAGAATATTCTTATTCATTATACACACATCTGTTTTACTACTCTTACATGACTTCACAACAAGAGAAATGAGGACACAAAATTCAAAGTCTTAATATAATTTGAAGTTTACCATTCAAGGGTAATGTGCTCATATGTTTATCTGTGGATGTGGGTTTTTTTTCAAGCTAGTATATATATCTTTTTAAGATAATGTCTCTATGCAGAGTGCTAGAGTAAAGCAGAGCATTCACGTAGTATTTAAAAAATTATAGGAAAAAAACAACTAAAAAAAAAGGAAATGTAACATGGTGTTATTTAGTATAGAAGTGAACAGCTTACTTTTTGTAAGTTCAGTGAGGTTGAGGCCTTGAGTCCCATTGCCTGAAAATTACAAATGCAGCCAGGTACAGAAGACCCTGATATTGTCACATCTATAAAAACCAAAAACCACAAGGGATACATGTTTCGTATACACTTCCTACATTTAAATAGATTAGATATAGGCTTCCATTTCATTTGTCTCCAAGAAACAGTATGGATGACTTCTTTTCCCCTTTCCGAGGCCTCTTAAGAATTTGTAATACAGTTATACAGGTCATTAGGTGATGTACAACACAAAAATAACTCACTGTAGCTGTGACATTAACAAAGATCAAGTTGAGAGATAACCGGATAGTGTAGAACACATTTCTTTCAGTGGAAGAGAAGTGAAATAAGGATTATCAGCACTTGATTAATGTGATGAAAACTGGGTCATGAAGATGGCTTTGGAAGATTCCACATCTTTAAAGGATGGCGTGTAACCAAACTCCTGTGGTTGCATTTTAAATGTATCCTGAATCCAAAATAGTCTTTGTTTGTGACTGGGCATTCACATTTAGAAACTCATCAATCGCCCATAAACTCAATACATGATGGCAGAAATACAGCAACATTTCAATATCAAGTCTCTTTAAAGCATCAGTTCCATTTTTATTTTTAGCCATTTTATTTTTAGTTGCCAAATATGCTACCTATGTAATAATACATGAATTATTTGCAGGGCTCAAATAGGATGGGCACGTGTTCACTGTTCTGGAGACTTCTCTGTGCATTTGTTTCCGTCCAACACCTCATTTTAATTTTGTTGGTGTATCAGGTGTTGAAAGTAGTTTTCTGACTTTTAATTGCAGGATACTATAAATCAAACTGCCAAACTGAAAGAAGCAAAACAGAAGGTGAGGAAAGATTTTATCTTCCCTAAACCAATAAAACCAAAGCAACCATTGCAATTAGTAGAACTGACACTTTATATCCACTTAGCTGCCAGATAAAAACAATTAAGTAGTCATCCAATTGATCAATAGGATTTGTTACAATGAGCAGTACGAAGGCTTGAAAAGCTCATTTTCTTGATTGCACGTGGTGCGAGATAGGTCCAGAATACATAAATCATAATATTGTACGGTAAAGATTCGATTTAAGTCCAACCCATTTTGTCCTACGCATCACTGGAACACATGAAGGCTTGCTGCTTTTTTCCTGACAAGAAAGGTATGAAATGTGACATCTGGTCTTAATCCAGCAAAGTTTCCTTCTAGTCAAAATAGCAGCAGATTGCTATCTCTTGCTATATGAAGACAGGTAACCAATTACTAACTAATATTGCTGACAAATGTCTGGAAAATTACAGAAATAAGATTTCTTCTCCCCAACATGAACTAAGGACTCATCACTAGCATTTATTACTTTGAGTCCACTTCGATCATAAACATAGAGCTCATATTGGATCTCACTGAAAAACCCTCGTGTCAGCTTTTTACAAAATACCACTTTATTGCTGTCCTAATCAGTGTGTAGTTTATAATTATATTAGTCTATTTTCTGGTTGACATCAATTTTCTGCTTTATTTTTTTCCCCAGAATGTCTTTTATTAGACTCAATGGACTTTGACTGTACCCAGAATACAAAATTCATGCAAATACATTTTAGTAAAAGTGCAATCTCTCATCACTGGTGTTTTGCTCAGGGGTTTTAATATGCATGTGTGTGTATACACAAACTAAAAACTACCACTTTATTATAGTTATGGGGGGCGTAATTAACTGACAGGGCTTTTTACTCTACAATTAACAAAACATTAAGAAAAAAAAAATACTTTTCCCTGAACAAAAAACTTAAAAACTGTGATTGTTTACAATGCAGTTTAAAACAGCTAGTAAATATTATAAAAGGGATGTGTATATGATTGAGGAAAGGATTATAAAAATAAAACACATTCTTATATGCATATCCTCAACCAAAATTTCTAAGCTAAATTGAGAAGACTGTAGAATTTGAGATTTTATATTGGAAGTAGATTTTCATACATGTGTGATTCATTCCACAATACATTTACTGGGGAAAGCTCTCTTGTTATACTAGCAAACTACAATTGAGGTAGTCTAAGTGCACTTCTCCCACTTTATGCTCATGGCATTGCTTGAAAGTTTGATTATTTCAATCATTTTCCAGTTTGGATTTCGAGACATTATAGGCAATGTCATAAAAATGTGAACTATTATGACTTACCATGAAAGGAAAATGGCTGTTCAGTAGTAGCATTAGTTTGGTGCAGCACAAGAATTGTAGCAGGAAAGCTACACATACATTTAAAGGTATCAAGCTATTTGAAAAGTAATTTATGTTTATTCCTAGGCTTTCACAAGTGCTCTGCATTATTTATACATTAGAGTACTAGAAAGTCATGCAACACAATACAGCCAAATCCTTTCAAATCTTTCTAATTTTTGCCATGTTCTGTCATTTTTCAAGTTAGATGGGGTTGTGATTTGTTAAATGTCTTATTTCAAAAGCCCTAAGAAAAATGTATAAAATGTACACTTATTTTGGTCTCTGCTTTAGATCTCAATAACTAAATTAGAAGCAATTTGGAATTAAAAACAAATCTCAAATATTCCCCAATTAAAGAACATAAAGAATGGAGAAAAAATATACATAAAGTAGACGGATAGATAATTAGATAAATAGGAGACTTAATATTTAAAGCATCATTACTACAAAATAAGATTTAAAAAAAAAAAAAAAAAAGTTAATTTTCCCAAATTGTATTCTTTGGACTAAATGTACCTGTTTAAATAGGAATTTCCACAAATTTACCCACAGAAGTTAAATATTTACATTGTGTTTGTTATATTCTCTGCATGTTTTCTTTAAACAAAATTCCATTTATGTAATGTTACATTTTTGGTTTTATAAATCCCTCATCTGTGATTATACAATGGTGAATTGCTATTTTTAGGTACATGTAACATGAATATAAAATGCTAGAATTAACAAAATTCTTTGTTTTCTTTTATAATTGTCAGCTTCCAATTTTCCTATTTATACTTAATTACAAGTATGTGTCTAGCACTGCTCATGGATGTGTTTCTTTAGCTAAAGTGAGTTGAAAGTAATGCACCAAGACCAACAAAAATTTAATTTCTCCACATAGAGAGCAGACAGACTATCACTACATGCTAACTAAAATTAACACGATATATCATAATTACAAGCCAGCATAAAGATAAAAACAATTTTTAGTATGTGTGCAGTACTGAGCATAAACCAACATGGTTTATGCGGAGCTGCTATTTTTGTATTTTGTAAATATGTAAAAGTGATTCAATCACACCAGCGGAAAATAAATTTTATAAAATTAAAAGACAATGAAATAATACAATGGCCTGATATGCTTCATCCTACATATATGCACACAAAGCTTTTTGACTCCTACTCAACAGGATGTTTGATGTTGGCATCCACAGCAGAATGTAGTCCTCTGCTAAGTGATGTGGGGTAGGGAAATTCTGCATTGTTACTTGTGTAACCTAGGTTTGCAAGCCGTGATAGAGCTTTTATGCTACCTGGAGGTCTCCCTGGGCTGACTTTGTATCCGGCGGCTTTGGTTGTACCCAAGGGTCTGCCCGGACTTGTCTTAAATCCAGCAGCTTTGGTGGTCCCCAAGGGTCTACCAGTGCTGGTTCTGTAGCCTGCTGATTTAGTGGTCCCAGATGGTCTTCCTCGCTTCCCAGACCTGCCAAGGTTCTTCTTTTTCTTTAGATCATTCTTTGTATCCAAATCCCTGTTGCTGGTTGTCTGTAAATGTGCCTCATTTATAGTTTCTTGTGTCTGACAAGAAATGGTCTTGTGACTGACTGAATGGCTGTATTTGTTCTGCTGGGCAGCATACAAGCCAAACTGATCAACACTTCTCATGCTGTCCTGGTTAAGGCAGGAAGACACGTTACTGCTGGGGACAGGACGCATCATTTTCTACAAAAACAAAAGTATGTAGATCAACATGTAATATCACATTTTGCAAAATATGTTTCAAGCTGCAAGTAAACATTTTTAATGGAATGTGGTCAAACACCAGAGGTAAATGTTAAAATATAACTTTTAATTAGAAATAAAAAGTTATCCAACCTATTGATGTATGGCAGTAATGTACTCTAAAATGAGACGAGAAACAAAACAAAAACTAGGTAAACAGTGAAATAACTTGTCAAATGACAAGAGGAAACCAAATATGCAGATCGGTAAATAGGTGGCAACCAGTACCAGATTCTAAGGTACATATAGTGAGTGGCTATTGAGTAACCTGCCACCTGATATCAATGGATGCCAAAAAAAAAAAAAATACCTTCTAGCTCAAATGATATGAGGATAGTCTAATACATCAAGTGGGCTAAAAAAGTCCACTTTAAACATATACATATCTAAGTCTACTGATATATCTAACAGTGGTATTTCTGCAAATGATGTACATATAATAGAGCTGGTATATAGAGCTGTAGTTCACATATAAGTATAAAGGAACACAGGGAGGTGTGTGTGTCGGTTGGTCCCTCACTTGGTCTTAAGTTTAGCCAAAGGATGATTTGCTAGTCCCTACATATTTAGCCACCGACACACGTTCCCACCATGTGAGTGAGACAAAATAGATACAATTGTCTGAAAAAGGTAACTTCTATCAAGGTTCCTCAACTAAGTATCCACATGAGAGAGATTAAGTGAAAAAGTTAATTACAAGTAAAAATAAAACGTGGGATCCTGAGCGGAGGAGTGAAAATTAACATAAAGTACGAGAATTATAAGTAAGGTGAACTGCCAGCTCCAGAAAACAACAAAGTCCGCACTCAACGCGCGTTTCACCAGGCAGCCGTTACCCGGATCATCAGGACTGCTAAGGGAGTGTCAGAAAATAAAATTGTTTTTTAAAGCAACCATCTAAGATTCCATTGGTTAATTAATCCGTGTTGGGGTGTGTCTGCTAAGTAGTTGTTTATGTTTTCTACCTCTTCAGCGTTTGAACTGCTGTGAGGGGTAGATTTAAAGAACTAGAGAAATTTCACACACATGGTATAAGTAATTAACATAAGAGAATGAGTCAGACCCAGCTTTTAACTGTCAAATTATGTAATCTAGTACGTGCGGAGAATATATATATATATATTTATATTCAATATATTTTCTCAAAGGGTTTATTTACCGTCTTTTGCTGTTATCGAGGAGACATTGCCAAAAGAACACGGATGTGTAAAAAATACCAGTCTGTGTTCTGAGTTTAAAGTCATGAGAAGTAAGCCGAACACTATTATGTAACAGAGGGTATTATTTGTTAAAAAGTAGTTAAAAAGGTAAGAACCCATAAAGCAAGGTTATGTGGGTCTGACATTCTTTAGAATGATCTGAGAAAAACTGAAAAAAATTGTCTTTTTCTCCCAGGTAGGTGTAAACCTATAGAAAATTGCAAATAAGAAAATGAACCTCTATTATATATATATATATATATATATATATATATATGTTATAGGGAATCGACTCACATTCTGACATAGATGTGCATGTATAGTTAGTGGTCTCATGTAGTAATTACAAATGAAATTAATGATTAATGACTAATGATAAAGAATGTTAATGAAAAGAGTATCTAGAGTTACCTAGGGGCTCTAATGATATCTTAAGATAAAATGAGGTGATAAAAAAAATATATAATTAAACTCGTTGTTTAAACTGAGGGGGCTCAACGTTTTAAACTTAAAAATCCATTTGGATTCACTTCGTAGTAATTTGGGGTTAATGTCACCCCCCTCTTGGAGATCTGTCTACTTTCTTAATGGCATGAAATGTAAGGCTAAATGCTTCACCACTGTGGAAATTAGATACATGTCTTGCAATAGGTGCATCACTTCCTGAGTTTATAGTATAGATATGTTGTAGGATCCTATGACAGAACCGTTGGATAGTTTTTCCAATATATTGGACCCCATATTTGCAGTTAGCCAAATACACAACATTACAAGAGCAATTGATAAAGGTACAAATTTTGACTGTTTGTTGGGTGATGAAAGATTTGACTTCTTTAGTGGGGGTGATGTACTGGCAGGCTTTGTAAAGTCCACAGCGAAAAATTCCTTTTGTAGGTGTTAGCCATGTATGTTGTTGTGATGGTTGTGTGGGGTGGCTTTGTACTAGAAAATCACCTACTAAAGAAGTCATATCTTTCACCACCCAACAAACAGTCAAAATTCGTACCTTTATCAATTGCTCTTCCTGTAATGTTGTCTATTTGGCTAACTGCAAATGTGGGGTCCGATATATCGGAAAAACTATCCAACAATTCCGTCGTAGGAACTCATTCAGCTTTTGTTCCTCTTGTCATTTGACAAGTTATTTCACTGTTTACTTACTTTTTGTTTTGTTTCTTGTCTCATTTTAGAGTACATTACTGCAATACATCCATAGGTTGGATAACTTTTTATTAGTTTGTCACTAAAAGTTATATTTTAACATTTACCTCTGGTGTTTTACCACATTTCATTCTTTTCTCTAGTATGTCGAAGGGCTCAAACCCCTTAGTAGTAGTGAATCATCCCTTCTAGACTATGTGTTTACAGTGGTAGACAATACCTATATCACATACAGTCTTAAACATTTTTAATAATGCGTGGCAAAAAAAAAAAAAACACAATAAAAACATAAATAAATATTTTTGTGCAAACCATTATAAAATTGGTCTTTAGTTCTGCCCAATCCCATAAATTGTTTTGAAAATCCAATCAGGAGCCTTTCAATCTGGTCTACGGGTTTTGAATTGTTATGCTTGAATTTGCTACAGTGCAGATCAGGCTCTACCTGTGTGTTGTAAGTGGTTAGTAGCAGATTGTAAAGCTCTCTGTGCAGAATAGTTTTGTTCTGAGCAAAGTTTTGAGAATCATAGTTCATTACCAGCTTTTTTTTTTTAGTTAGCTGAACGCTAACAAACCTTGCAATGTTTCATCACAACATGTTTTAGGACACTGCAGTTTGGGAGAAAGTGACAGAAAATGAGGTGGTACATAACATTTTGTATGGAACCACAGCAACCAGCAATAACGAAGCATTTTTGAATGGTGAAGTGGGACAAAGGAGGCATGGCTGGTATGCCAAGTGTGGCTTTTTTTCTTGCTTATAAAAAAGACACTGAGTTAATTGTTAATTATCTGCACAGATTCCTAATTCACAGTGATTCATCCGCAATTAGATCTTTATGTGTCTAGACTATATGAAGCTATCAAACTTAGGTAAGAAAAAAAATCTTCAAATAACATACATGCATTCCAGATAAGTCCGGTCGTCTGAACATGATGCAATGTGGGTTGCAATATATTTAGTAGAAAACAAAAATCCTGTGGATTCCTACTGTTGAGTCTTCTAGTAAAATGCCATCTGCAAGCAGCCACAGACCATGCATAAGTGCTGCCACCTTTGTGTACAAATTTAAAGTTCTCACACCTAAGTAAGAGAAGATAAAACAAATGTTAGCAAAATACTGACATACACAATGAAAAATAATACAAACTTTTAAAAGACGGTTAAAGGAATGCTCTAAACATCATGACTACTTACTGAAGTCTTTATAATGTAAAAGACCGCGTCTTGCATCTTTTCATTTTTTTTTTAACACACATACAAAAACAAACACTACTATGCATTGCATACTCTACTTGGGGAGTATCAGTGGACCCTCTATTCCATTACCTTATATTAGAAAAGAAAGAAAAAAGCAAAGAGAAAGAAAAAGAAAATATTCTAATTATTTTGTCCAGGACTTTGTGTGACCATACTCTCCATTTTTTCCTTCCAAAAATTACTGACATCTCTAATTTTTACTGACTGATATCCTAAGGCCTCCATAGTTAGTTGGTATTGGACTTGTGAGTATAATTGGACCTGTGTGAAATTCACACTACTCTTCCAATTCCTTGCAAATTATTATTTTTATTGCTGCCACAAAGTGGACATATATAAATTTTTCTTTAAAATGGAGTGATTGTAAGTTTAAGTGGAATAGACCATTATGATGGCCTCTAGGGATGTTTGTCTCTGTAATATACTCCAATGATTTGAAGGCCAGATACCACAAGTTTTAACCTTGCTGCATTCCCACCATATATGTCCAAAAGTCCCTTCTTTTTCGTTACATCTCCAGCACAATGGAGAATTAGAGGTATACATTTTGGACAATCTGGTGGGAACTAGATACCAGCGGTTCATTCATTTAAATAATACCTCAAGAAGGCTCAAACAATGTATTATTTTACATTTTTGAAATAATACTTGATCCCACTCAGTCTTAAAAATCTGTACATTTAGTTCTTTGCTCCATTTCTGAATATATACATTCATATTTGGTGCTTCAATTTGAAGAAGAGCACTCCTTGCCTTTGAAACTATTTGCGGTACATTCTCATTTTTTAATAAAGCTATCAGATTTTCTATTCCCTCTATGGGTCGATGTAACAAAAACTGTTTGATAAAACCTCTGATTCTTAAATAATTATACCACTCCTGCTTAGGTAGCGAAAATTCTTGTATCAAATTTTCAAATGATTTAATTTTATCTCCCAATAATATTTGGTTTATAGAATTAATGCCTTTCCCTGTCCATTCACTTGTATTTAAATCTTTCATCCTTAATTGTATAATACTAAAGTTAGAGTTTCCCAATATTTTATTACATATTCCGCTGTTAATCCTCAACTTTTCCCACTCCATCAAAATTGATTTCAAGCAATTATTTGAAGAACAGACCTTCTTAATTCTTTCATCCTGTTTAGTTAACCAAATTAATTGATATCAAGTTTTCAGTTTCTACCATCTCCATTTCTAATTGGTACCAACCCGCTTCCTCAGAACTTAAGAGTTGCGTCTTGTATATATGGAGCATCATATTAGCTAAATAGGTTATATTGACATTTGGAAAATTTATCCCTCCTTTCCTACTCCTTTCCTACTCCTTTCCTACTCTTCTGCATCAAAAGTTTTTTTATTCATCCTCGGCCTTTTTCCTTTCCATATGAAATTATTTATATCTCGTTGTATCATAGATAACCATGGTTGTGGCATTCTCAAGGGTATCATACGAAATAGATAGGACCATTTAGGGAGTAAATACGAATTGACCAAATTGATTCTACCCCACCAGGATAGTTCAATTTGTCTCGATCTTTTTAGTGACTCATGTGTTGATCTAAATGTTTTTAAAAAATTTGTTTGCATCGTATCTTTTGAGTCATCAGTAAGCGTTATTCCCAAATAAGATAGTGTATTTTTATTACAATTAAATTTGTATTTATCTTTTATATATAGACTACATTCTCTGGAGATGTTTATAGCTAAAAAAGTAGATTTAGTTACATTTATTTTATAATTTGAGAACAGACTGTATTTGTCTGCCTCTTCCATCAAGGCACCAAGCGATTCGACAGGGTCGGTTAGGGTCAAAATCAAATCGTCTGCATATAAATTTAATTTAAATTCTTTCTCTCTGTATCTAAAGCCTTTTATTCGAGAATTATGTCTTATATGAATAGCTAGAATCTCCATTGTCATAATATATAAAATGGGCGATAGGGGACAGCCCTGTCTCGTTCCATTTTTTAGTGTAAACCAGTCTGCACATATGTTTGGGGCCACTGTTCTTGCTTTTGGACCTTCATATAGTGCCAGAATTGCATTAAGCATCCATCCCTGTATGCCAAATTTTTCCATTGTTTTCTTTAACCCCTTAGGGACACATGACATGTGTGACATGTCATGATTCCCTTTTATTCCAGAAGTTTGGTCCTTAAGGAGTTAAAAAGACCCAACCGACCCTGTCGAAAGCTTTCTTGGCATCTACTGCCAATATAAATAAAGGTTTTTTATTTCTTCGAGCTGCATCTATCAAATCCAATAATCTTCTAGCGTTATCTACTGGGTCTCTCCCCTGTACAAAACCAATTTGATCATTTTTTATAATATTATCCATAAGTCCCTTTAATCTATGGGCCAAGACTGATGAAAAGATCTTAACGTCTGTATTGATTAACGAGATAGGTCTATAATTTTCCACCTTTAAAGGATCTTTATTTACTTTAAGAATTGGGAGGATATTTGCTCTTGACATTTCGGTAGGAAATTTACCTACTGACACTATTTCGTTAAACATATTAGTTAAATGGCAAGCTATATGATTTTTGAAAGATTTATAGAATAGATTTGCAAAGCCATCTGGGCCTGGCGTCTTATCTGGTTTTAACTTGTTTATTGCTGCCTCTACTTCTTGGACTGTAATAAAAGTATTTAGCTTATTTCTTTGTTCTACCGTGAGTTTAGGTGTATTAATTTTACTCAAATAGTCCTCCTCATTTATTGTTGAAGGAGTTAAATTATACAAAGCCTCATAATACTTATTAAATCTCTCTCCTATTTTTTTGGGGTCCAAGTAAACCCCTTCATCGTCCACTATTTTGCTTGATCCAATTTTATCTCTTAGTTTTTTAGTCATAATTCTATCTGCTCGATTCCCCTTATAATAATAATTCGCTTTAAGTTTATTTATAACTTTTGCATTCTTTGCTATAAGGAAATTATTAATTTTGTTCTGAATATTTTTCAGAGCATCTGCATTTTCTTTAGAGGGAGACTGCGTATTCTTATTTACGGTCTTTTTTAATTCTTCTTGGAATGCCAGAAAAAGTTTATTATTTTCTACTTTATATCTTGTTTGTATACTTATTATGTTGCCTCTCCTGGTTGATTTAAATGCACACCAATTATTTATATATGAGGTATCATTTGGATCATTTTCAAGAAAAAAGGTTTCAATTTGTTTTTCCAGTATATCGAGACTGATCTTAGATTTTAACAGATTATCATCCATACGCCAAGTATCACGATTAATCCTGATCCATTGGTTTTTCATCTCCCACATATTAATACTATGATCTGACCAGGTATTATTGAGTATCTTAAAATATTTGATATTTGTTAATGCTGTTATGTTGCCCCAAACCATATCTATTCGAGAGTAAGACAGACGTACACGCGAAAAAAACGTATATTCCAATGAATCAGGATTGATCGTTCTCCATAAATCAATAGTCAAAGTTAATCATATTTCTCTTAACAGATTTTGCAAGCTTATCTGTTCTTTTTTGATGTAATAATATTGCTATCAGAAACACGGATTCAGCAAAAGTTGGTATCTTACAGACTAGCATAAAACACCTTAGTCCCACACTGGGGCAACCATGCTCGTCTGGATGGTCTCTCTCTTAAACCAGTCACACACGGATAAATGTTGTGCCGGAGGCCAGTTCAAAGCCAGAGGTCCTCAGATTTACCTAGCCTGGTTAGGAAGCCCCCCACTAGGCTTTTATGTATTTAACTCAATGCAATATATTTGTTTTTCTCATCCTGTACTTTTGTGTAACTATGCTTTGCTTATTAAGCCCTCTGTTATTAATATGGAATGTACGGTCACCAGTGTTGTCAAACACTTGCACTATTTGCTGTCATTGTATACTGCACTGTTTACTGCTCAAGTCAAAATAAAGAATCTAAAAAACCCAAAAACCAGGAATGTTTTTTTCATCTCTTCACATGCTGCATGTTTAATAATGTATGAACCCCTTTGGCTGCCACAGGCTAAAACTAAATAATTTTTACAGAATGTATTATTCCTGAGTGTTAAAAGATGAAATAACACTTTGTGTACCGGCACATCCAATACCATGCACCCCTTTAACACCAATATATATTAAATGTCATATAAATCTAATTTTTTTAAATGTATTATAAGGCTTCTAATTTGATACTTGTGGGTCAATGACAAAGGGGAGTGTAAACAGGTATACAACTATGCTAGGGATGGGATGTAAAGTAGAGGCGCGTCCAGTTGTAATTTATACATTTGCAAGCAGTTTTTAATTTTTTTTTAAAATAGTTTATTTTAAATTCTACAAGGCAACTATTTTATATTTTAGTCTGTCCTAAAGTGCCAGTCAGCCTTTTGAATCATTAATATGGCAGCAAGACCCTGGTTATAAGTATGTAACTTTAGAATTGCTTTTCTTCTAGAACACAGTTAAAAAAAATAATTCAAATAAATTGGACAATGCCTATCCAATGTGAAAAATGTGTAGTCTGAGAAACTATATTTCTGTTTGGTTTTTGTAACTTAAATTTTTATTGTACTATGATAGACATTGTTCTTGTTCTAAATTACCTTTAATTGCATAATTGCATAAATTATTATTAAGTCACCAAAAATTTCTCCCAGGCCACGCCACACCCCTAAATCTAAAGTATCCTCACTGTCCACTTGAAGTGTTGGGAGGTATGCTACAGTGACTATGACCGACTGTGGTATGAACAGGCAAGTTAATGATCTTGCCTTCATTTAATATCCTAAAAGTGTTTAGTAACAAAAGGATAATACTGCGGCATGGGACCCTTAAAGGGTCAGACCGTTTGTATCTGCAGCCCGCTGGAGAGATGCATCCTCAACCCAAGTGTAATAACTCTTCTGTGCCACATTTGGCAGCTTCATGACTTGTTGTTATTTTGTTTACGTTGCACCAGAAAAGTTTTTGTGTTTCTTTTAATCCCTTAACCCCTTAAGGACAGAGCTTCAAAAGCTTGTCTTTCACTTAATGACAACGGCATTTTTTTCATTTTTTTGCTGTTTGCGTTCAACTACAATTTGCATTTTACTAATTTGTTGCACCAACACATATTATACATCGTTTTTTAAAGGACAGAAAGGGCTTTAATTTGATGTAACACACACATATATAAAATGCTTATTTATTATAAAAAAATACAGAAAAATGTAAAAAAAAAAATTAAAATTTGTTGTTTTTTTTTACAGTTTTTGCAATAATAATGTGTGCATAATTAGTGCAGGTTAAGAAAAGTAATTAAAAATAAATTAATTTAGTTGTTCTGATTTACATATATAATGTGTCTGGGATTTTAAGTTTTTTTTGGTAGTTACAGGTCACAAAGCACAAGGAGTAAAATAGACTTTTAATGTGGAGCGATTTTAGAATTTGGTATGTTTGTCTTGTAAGCTTAATAGCCATAAAAGAAAACAAAATTGCCACACAAAAGTATATATTTATATAAAGTAGACATCACGGGCTATTTACCTAAGGTTGTTTTGACACTTTCTACGTAGCCATTTCACCGCCAACCTCTGCTAAATATTGGAGTAAAATTGTGTTTTTTTTGGTTTTTGGCACACAAACTTATAACAAAGAAATTCTCGTGTATATTTTGTACAGTTGGTGTGTGCTTTTCCTGTACAAAGTTTTATTTTGTGTTCAGTTACATCTGCTGAGTAAAATGACACCCTCATTTTATGTCTTTGGCACTATTTCGTGAAGTTCAGTGCCATACAGGATACCTGTCCTTTTCAGTATTCACAGTAGAATTTTGAGAGATGGGTTTAATGAGCCTTAGCTTCCATTTGGGGTATTATAACAGTTTGACTGTTCAAAAACCCCCCACAAAGGCCTACCATTTGTAAAAGTAGACACTCCAGGGTATCTCATAAGGTGCATATTGTGCCTTAACATGCCCCCATTTTTTCACCAATATATGCCAAAGTATGTGGTAAAAAATAATTTTGTGCATTTTTTACATATGGATTGCATTTTTGCTGGGCGTTTTGTATATTTCATATGTGCCACTAAGTTCAAACCTCCCAAATTATGCTCAGCTAAGTCTTCTGAGTAAAAAGACACCCCCAATGAATGTCTTTGGCACTATTTTGTGAAGCTACAGTGCCATATAGGAGACCAAGCCATATCCGTTTTTACCAAACTTTGAATTTTGACGCTGGGCCTATGTGCAATTTCCAAGCATCTTCGCAGGTTTTAAATTCAAACTACCCCACAAAGGCCTACCATTTCTTAAAGTAGACACCCCAGGGTGTTTCAAAGGGTATATTTTGAACCTTAGCGTGGGATCATTTTTCCGCTAGCTTGTACCAGATGTAGTGGTAATAAGCGTTTTTTCTGCCTTTTTGACATACAAAGTGAGTTTGCACAGTATATTTTGCAAACCTTATGTGTGCTACGACTGTAGAATACTTCATATGTTGCTCAGCTATGTCGGCTGAGTACCTCAATACCCCCGTATGTACCTTTGCCAGGTATGTGTGGACATTGGAGGGGCACATTTGGGACACAGCCATTCCAGTTTTTTTCAAACTTTGAATTTTTATGCTGTGCCTATGTCCCATTTTAGAGTATTTTACCAGGCTATATAATCCAAATACCCCATAAAGCCATACCATTTCTTAAAGAAGACATCCCAGGGTATTTCAAAAGGCATATTTTGAACCTTAGCGTGGGATCATTTTTCCGCTAGCTTGTACCAAGTGTAGTGGTAATAAGCATTTTTCTGCCTTTTTGACATACAAAGTGAGTTTGCGCAGCATATTTTGCAAACCTTATGTGTGCTATGACTGTATAATACTTCATATGTTGCTCAGCTATGTCGGCTGAGTACAGCAATACCCCCGTATGTACCTTTGCCAGGTATATGTGGATGTTGAAGGGGCGCATTTGAGACGCAGCCATTCAGTTTTTTTCTAACTTTGAAGTTTTACGCTGTGTCCATGTTCCAATTTGGAGTAGTTTAGATGGTTGGTTATTGAAACTTCCCCACAAACACATACTATTTATTAAAGAATACACCCTGGGGTAATTCAAAAGGCATATTTTGAACCTTGGCGTGGGATAATTTTTTCTCTAGTTTGTTCCAGGTGTAGTGGTAATGAGCGTTTTTTAAATGTATTTTTTTTACTTTTTATAACTTTTTTACTTTTAAAAACTAGTTTTTAAACTTTTGTTTTGCTTATTAATTTTTTTAAACTTTCCTAAAACTTTTTTACAGATTTAACATTTTTCTAAGCTTTTTTTTTTTTAGTTAACCCCTAACTAGCAGTACGCAGCACTAACAGTAAATTCCCCATTTTCCCATAACTCCCACCCACCCCAGCTAGCAAAATATATAGTTATACAATATTTAAATTAATTAATTAAATAAATTGAACCCCATAGGGTTAAAAAATAAATAAAAGTTAATCCTCAGGTGTTAAAAAAAATTAGATCACAGTATAATACTGTGATCTCTATTTGATCGCTGTAGGCAGTGATCGACTGGCAGGGACGGGGTTAATTTTTATTTGGACTAGGTAAAGGGTTTTTTTTTTTTACTTAAATGTTATTAAAACATTTTTTTAAGCTTAATTTTTTACTTTTTAAAGTTTATTTTAAAACTTTTTTTAACATTAACCCCTAGTTAGCCTAACACCAAATCCCCCAATTCCCCACTAACTTCCACCCACCCCAGCTAGCTAAATATATTATTTTAAAATATTGTAATTAATTAATTAAATAAATTTAACCCCTGAGGGTTTAAAAAAAAAAAATTAAAAAAAAGAATTAACCCTCAGGGGTAAAAAAAATAAATCAGATCATAGTAAAATGTAGTCCCTGCCAATTGATCACTGTAGTCAGTGATCAATTGGCAGGGAAGGGGTTAATCTTTTATTAAAATGGGTAAGGGGGGGGGGGACTTTAAATTAACTTTATTTTTTTTAACAGCAGGGGGCAGGATCAGCACTGTTCTGGCTCCCTGCACTTCACACAGAACCAGGAAGTGCAGGGAGCCGGAAGGTAAGTATACAGAGCACATGTGCTCGCTCTGACTTGCGGTCAAAGCGAGCACATGTGCTGGGCAGCCTGACCGGGTGCTCCCGGTATGCCTCTAATGCAGAGGCGTACCGGGGTACCATTAACCCCGCGATCGCCGCGATAGCGGCGATCCAGGGTTAATTTTACCGCGTGACGGACGAGGTCCGTTACTCGTCATTAAGGGTCTCCTTTCTGTGACGGACCTCGTCCGTCAACTGTCGTTAAGGGGTTAAGGACTGAGCCAAATGTACACGTTTTGATCAAAATAAACCGTAAACAAAACTTGGAATTTGACTATATGTCCGTTCAACCGTAATTCACCTCTTTCATATTAAGTGCACCCCCACTTATTATATATCATTTTATTCAGGAGAAATAGGGCTTTCATTTAACATCACACACTGAGCTATGAAACATAGTTTAATATGAATAAAATATTTTAAAAATGGAGGGGGCGTGGCTAACCACGGAGCAAGATGGCAGCATGAAAACTTGCTCCGGCAACAGGGCACCCAATCCAGCGTAATCCAACCGCCTAAAGCTGCATCCAACAACATAGACCAGCAATGTCCCACCACAAAAGTAAAAGGAGCTCGGTAAAGCCGGACAAGCTTAATTTTTTTAGCCAGAAACAAACTCCTGCGGCCCTGGCTACGCAGGCCTCAAAAGCAGCCGAGGATCCTGAATCGGACGACGGCATGCATGATACCGACTCGGAGGCAAAAGCTGACACAACACAGATTACTAAAGCCGACCTCACAGCAGCTCTGGAGGTCTTATCTGCTAAACTAATCACCACATGGCAACACACAGCGGACTCCTTACGGAAGGACATCCAGGAGCTGGGGAAAAGGACGACGCACATGGAGGATAAGTGCGATGAATTCGCCACAGCGCACAACGATCTGGCCACGAACGTAGAGCGCATAGCAGCAAAGATCACCATTATGGAAGAAAAAATGGCGGACATGGAGGACCGGTCCCGCCGGAATAATTTACGCTTGCGGGGAGTCCCTGAGGATGTCACTAACGACGACCTGCCAGCTTATGTCAGGAACCTCCTGCACGCCCATGCACCGGAGATACCTACAGATATGCTGCTGGTAGATCGGGCTCACCGCATTCCGAAACCCCGTCATCTCCCACAAACAGTACCGCGGGACATACTATTGCGGGCGCACTATTTCCACATAAAGGAACACATCCTCCGGAGCAGCAGGCTGAGAGCTAAGCCGCCGGCCGACTACCCAACGGTCAAAATCTATGCGGATCTGTCAGCCGCAACACTACGAAAAAGAAAAGACTTCCTCCAAGTTACCAGCACGTTGAGGTCCCACGGCATAAGGTATAGGTGGGGATTCCCCACAAAGTTGATCGTTACGCAAAATGGAGACACGGTAGTGATAAATTCCCCTGACGACGGCCTGAAGAAACTCCAGGCCTGGAACCTGCCGGTGGAGCCGCCTATCCTGCAAACAAGAAAGGCGGGCACCCTCAAACCGGACTGGGAAAAAGCCCACGGGAAACACTGAAACCAGACGGTATCTGGTACGCAGGCGAAAGCCCCTTCGGATATACACTGCCCATATAATGTCCTGGATACGCACCTGAAGTGCCTCCTTTCAATATGGCGACCCTGGAATGCACAACAAAGCTGGACAAAAACTGGTAACTGAGGACCCCGATGGATAAGTGACTCTGGATCGGGGCCCCCCGCTGACCCTGTGACGAAGCGTGCGCAGAGCAGTGGATTCCCGCGGGGGTCCCCGGTCTGGACTAATACCCTGAGGTGATGGGCCTTCCTCCCCCCTCTACCCCCCATCTCGCCTCCACTCCCCCCCCGGGTCCAGGTGAGCAACGACCGGGGCAGCCTCCAACTCAGGTGAGGCCAGAAGGTTTACCCGGGAGATGGGAGGCATGACACCACAACCAGATGGACCATGAGACTTTGGAGCTGCTGAGACAAGCTGCAGAACTACAGCGTTATACGCTCCTACCAACAGGTCTAATGGGACAATGGGACACTGGGGCCCGGGTGGGGGATGGGGAGATTCCGGGGAAGTTTTCTTGGCCGTTGGGGTGGGGGGGGCGGGAGACAGGCCGGGAGGCGGGACGGTTAGCAGGGTAAAAAAGTTACCGCAGGTTATGTTTTTACTTAGAATGCATGAGCTATAGTTGACTGTTAACATACACGTACATAGGGCCCCTTTGAGCCAACGTTAGCGTTCATGACAGGTCTTCAGCACATATAGCCAGACCACCCCAACGGATGGCACGCCAATGTACACTCTAATTCAGACGAGGACGTCTGGCCCCGGCCTCTCTCAGCCTGTCACGCCCTTACCGGGATTACATCCAAGGGCCCGGATCGGTCCATAGGCACTGATTGGCCCAACCGCATACTAGAAGCAGCCACAAACACGAACCACAAGGGTGCCCAAATAGCCACGTTAATGGAAAGATCCTTTCTTTCTTACCCCCCAGATGTGGTCTACCCACATAAATTCCTTGAAAGGAATACTCTGTACATAGTTTTTATACCTTCCCCTAGTTCTCCTCCCCTAATCCCACATCCCCAAGGTCGGCCACTACCCACAAATGGAACTAACACATCTCCAAATCCATACCACTACCTAATGGTGTACATTATGCAACGACACGCCAATGCTATCCTAGAACCAACAGGCAACACAGCCACACAATATTCCCATTCCCAATGTGGGGGCAACATCAGACAAGGACAAGCGAGACCTAGACAGCTACACTATATAACCCTCCCATAGTATGAGAATACAAACTATTAATGCACGTGGACTGAACACCCCACACAAAAGGAGACTCTGCATTGAGGACGCGAAGCGTGCTAAAGCAGATATCTTATGTGTCCAAGAAACTCACTTTGTACACAACAGAGTGCCCAGATTTGCAGACAGAGAATACCCCACACAATACCACTCGACATACTCCTCTAAATCGAGGGGCGTCTCCCTCTTCATACACACCTCAATAGCATTCGAACTTCTCCGACTCAAAAAAGACACACAAGGCAGGTATCTTATACTACACGGTAAAATCAACGACACCCTACACACAATAGTGGGACTATACGGACCAAACAGTAATCAAAGAAACTTCCTACAGAAAGTACTAAATAAACTACCTAACACGTACCAATCATCCACAATCATATGCGGAGACTTAAATCACATCATGCAACCCCGATTAGACACTACACTGTCGGAAACAACACCCAGGAGCAAAATACAGGGAAAACAGGCTATAGCACTCACGAAGCTCCTCTCCGAACACGGGCTTTATGATATTTGGAGGACACAGCATCCGAATGAACGGGAATTCACATTTTACTCACCAGTACATAAAACATACACAAGAATTGACTTTATTCTAATTTCGGGCGACATGTTACCAATGGCAACGCATAGTGAGATAGGGAACATAATCTGGTCAGACCACGCACCAGTACAACTTACCCTGAGGGACAAATTTCAGACCAGAGGGGCGACACTCTGGCGCCTAAACGACACTCTCCTCCATAACCAAGAATTTAAAACCAAACTTAACGAAGAGATACTTTCGTTCTTTACCTTAAACGAAACACCCGAGGTCTCACTAGCCACAACATGGCAAACACATAAAGCAGTCATACGAGGCCTCCTGATTAGCCAGGCATCCCACCTGAACAAGCAAGCAAAGAAAGAGTATATAGACCTCCTGAGGTCACTTAGGGACGAAACATCGGCGCATATTATGCACCCATCCCCCTCCACACAGCAGCGCATAGCCCAGCTTCAAGGGAAACTAAATGACATACACCTGCGCACCACAGCTACCATATCACATAAATTGAAACTCAAAACATACACCCAGGGAAACAAGGCAGGGAAGACACTGGCAGCACTTCTGCGACAGAAACGGCAAAATGCAAAAATCCCATTTCTATTGAACGCTATAGGCAATAAAATGTATAGCCCACATGATATAAACAACGCGTTAGCGGACTACTATGATACACTATATAACCTGAAAAGGGATCAGCAGACACACCAGCCACTCCCAAAGGAGATAGACGCATTTTTAATGGAAGTACAGCTGCCGAAACTATCGGAGGCAGACCAGACTCTATTGGAAGCTCCCGTTACCCAAACTGAAATTGCAAGCATTATTAAAGCCCTCCCAAAGGGGAAGTCACCAGGCCCAGACGGCTTCACGAACTTATACTATAAAATTTTCTCCCACAGTCTCACCCCCAAATTGGAAAAACTGTACAACAATATTCTCACGACAGGCTCTATACCAAGGGAAATGCTGCTAGCCCACATAACCACACTGCCAAAACCAGGGAAGCCCCCAACTAAATGCCAGAACCTGCGTCCTATATCGCTACTAAACACTGATTTAAAAATATTAGCGAAAATTTACGCAAATAGGCTAGGAAACATATTACCATCCCTGATTCGAGATGATCAAGTGGGGTTTGTCCGGGGTAGGCAAGGCTCAGACGGAACCAGGAAACTGATCAACATCCTGCACAAGATCCAGAAAACCGGGACCCCCAGTGTGGCACTGTCACTAGACGCTGAGAAGGCGTTTGACAGGCTGCACTGGGGATACCTGGAGGCTGTGCTAAGGAAACTCGCATTTCCCGAGTGCTTCATCACACTAGTCTCGGCACTATATGACAACCCGACAGCAAAAATAGCCAACGGCGGGTTTACCTCCAAACCCTTCCACATCTCCAATGGGTCCAGACAGGGCTGCCCACTCTCACCCTTACTATATATACTAGCACTAGAACCCCTGGCTCAACACGTTAGGGAGTCACATGAGGTCCATGGAATACAAATAGGGGGAGAAACACACAAAATTACCCTATTTGCTGACGATGTAATGCTCACACTGTCTAAACCTGACATTTCTCTGCCACGGCTTCGAACTATACTAACAAAATTTAGCAACTGCTCATACTACAAGCTCAATGTCACCAAGACACAAGCTATGGGCCTCAATATCCCTAAAGAACAACTTACCCACCTACAAAGCACATACACATATGACTGGCGAACTGACCATTTGACCTTCCTAGGTATAGATCTCACACCCAAGACGCAAAAGCTGTATAAAGCGAACTATTTAAAACTCCTTAGCGCAATTAAACAACAATTACATAGCTGGAAAGGGAAATACATCTCATGGCCAGGCAGAATAGCGGCAGTTAAAATGATGGTACTACCACGACTACAGTACTTATTTAGAACACTCCAAATACAGCTACCACGCCAATTCCTTAAAGACGCACAGCACTTCCTAAATCAATTCATATGGGATGGGAAACGACCTCGAACGGCGGCCGACACCATGTATAGGCCATTCAAGGAGGGAGGAATGGGGGCCCCTGAGATCGCAAACTATTACACAGCTGCCATGATGAGCACACTTGTATCCTCCTTCCACTACATAATACCACCAAAGTGGAGTCACATAGAAACCGCAAACACGGGCGGACTCTCGATGTCCACCCTTGCTTGGATACCTAGGCATCTGAGACCAAAATACCCTGACATATGCCCAACCACGAGGGCCACACTCCTCCTATGGGACAAGTATACCAAGAAACACTATCCCACCTCATACATATCCCCAGCACTACAAATTCCAGCATTCCAACTCCTCATTCCGGGGTTCGATCATGGCCTATGGTGCAAACACGGAGCCACACGCCTATCGCACTTAATGAGGGACGGTCGCCTACTAGACTTTAGTACTCTATCCAACCAGTACAACCTACCTCCCAAAGCCTTTTTCTCATACTTACAATTGCAATCATGGGCGAGGAAGAATATAGGTCTAGAAGCTGCACAAACGCAACCACAGACACTGACAGAGATAGAAAAAGTATGTATGGCCCCAAAACCGCCACAGAAAATGCTGTCACTCCTGTATAAACTGACCAAAAAACAAGACCAATCACAGAAATTAAGCTTCATGACGGCATGGGAAAAAGACCTGAATCTGACTATATCCAATGAGGTATGGTCAAAAATACTGTTAGCACACAAAAATCTCACACTAAATGCATCCCATATTGAGACTAGCAGGAAAGTGTTATATCGCTGGTACATGGTACCCACCAGGCTGAGCAAAATGGACCCAAGTAAGTCAGGGACATGCTGGAGATGCTTACAGGAACCGGGGTCAATGCTCCACATATGGTGGACCTGCCTAGGAATTAGGCCCTTTTGGAAAAGCGTCTCGAATATCATAACCAAATCCACTGGCAATACTCTGCCACACTCCCCAGAAACATATTTACTGCTAGCCCTGCCACATAAGCTCTCAAAAGCTGATATGTACCTAACATACCACATTATTATCACAGCACTAATGGCTATAAGCAAGACTTGGTTGAGCACACACCCACCCAGCACTCAACGATGCCTAGATATGATAGACACTACCCAAGGGTATGAGATAGAAGCTAGGCGACTAAGGCCGACAAATAAAGCCTGGCAAACAGCGTGGCAGACATGGACAGCATGGCGACAAAATGCCACACAGGATGGCAGTCATGGCACTAGCTAACTCTTGGAAACACTTCCAGACGTTCCAAACCGACCTTCCCCTCCATCCCTCCTCTTCCCCCCCCCCTACAATAATAGGGTGATACCTAGTCGCAAGACTAGGTTAGTTGTCAAATAACACTGGTACAGGTGCAAGCCACAACGTTAAAATGCTATGGCACTGAGATGCTGTGACTGGCCTCCCCAACAAGTTGTTGGGGTTCCCAAACACTGGACGAAGTATGAAACACTTCCTAAAGATGTATAAAGCGAAATGTAATTGTTATTCTGCAACTGTACAATTGTGTGCATCTGTTACCACTATTTTAAACTCAATAAAAAATATTACACACAAAAAAATATTTTAAAAATGAGAGAAATTAAGAATTTTAAAAAAAAATTTAGTTCTGCATTACATATTAACTGTGAATGTCATAATGCTGTTTTGCTTTTACTGCAATAAAATACACATATTTGTATTCAGCAATATCTCACGTGTAAAACATTACCCCCTAGGTACAGGTTTTATGTTGTTTTGGGAAGTTACCGGGTCAAATATAGCATGTAACATTTTTCATTTTTTATGCTACAAGAGATACATAATATACAGTGAGCAAGCTGAGGTTCACGGGGCAATTAGTTCTAATCAATTAGCGTGTGGGAAGGAAACAATATAAAGGGTTATTCTTATTCAGTCCGTGTGGGGCTAGTGTCCCCAATCCAGTGTAAATCCAGTATGCCTCCCTTCTCAAAAGTTGTGCATCTCTGTCACATTTATATTGTTTCCTTCCCAAACGCTAATTGATTAGAACTAATTTCCCTGCAAACCTCAGCTTGCCCACTGTATCTTATGTATCTCTTGTAGCAATTTATCTCCATGTGTTTCATTTTTATTGCTATATTGTTTGCTACATAACATTTTTATGCAATACTTGTATAATTTACATTGCAATTAATTATGCCTGTTAATTTAAGATTCCTCCTCCTTTTCATGACTGGAACAATCACTGAATTAGGTTCTTTGATAATTTCTGTTCTCACATAACTATCACCCCACTTCTCTCTGTCGATCCAGTTTTCTTTTTATCAGGTCTCCACTTATCATACGTTATAGAGTTAATTGTTTCTTTGTATATATTATTTCTAACCTTCTATCACATGGTTAAATTTGGTATGATTATGTTATCTCTGACATCACCAGTCTTGCTCTCTGCTGTTCACCCTCCAATTATCTCACAGCTTGTGTATATATAACTGTTATCTGGCACTTAGCACTTGTCTTGAGAAAAGTCCAGGAGGACTGAAACATTGATGTTTATTTGTGCTAAATAAAAGCATTTCTACTTTACTACTACAGTCTCCAGAGTGCTCTCATCTTCCTTCTTATACTATGGCTGGAGTTGGCACCTGAGCATCATTAAAGACCGGGAACTAGAGTGCTGGGATCGTGGAAATATATTTATATATTTATATATATATTTATATTATTTCGTTCTAAGGGTATTTTGAGATAGATATATATATATATATATATATATATATATATATATATATATATATATATATATATATATATATATATATATATATATATATATATATATTTTGATATCAAAATACAGTTAAAACGAAATTACACATATATATTTTTTCATTATTTTTCATTTTTAACGTATTTATATATTTATTTTATATATTATATATTTATTTAATTAATATATTTATTTAATTAATATCATTCTAAGTGTATTTTTTATATTAATATTAAATTACACTTAGTGTATGTGTATATAGATAAAACAAATTATTTTAAACAGTTTTTAACCTTTATTTACAGGCAGCAGGGGGACTACCTGTCATTCCAGGCACTCCCCCTGCTGGTACTGCTATGGATGGCTATTCCGTCCATGTGATTGTGAGGTCCTCGCAAGGATCACGCGATCACACGGCCCAGGAGGGCCGGATCAGCAGCAGGGGGACTCTGCCAGGTAAGTCCCCCCATCGCGATCGCTGGCGAGCAGGTAAGTCCACTGGATGGCGTGGACGTGCTATGCTGCCCGCCGGCGTTTAGAACTGTGTCCCCAAAGACGGCATAGCACGCCCGCCATCCTTAAGGGGTTAATATCTTATGTTTTCCGTTGCTGAAATACTGCAAGTATGCGATGATATGTGGTTCATCTCACTATTTTACTAGTTACCGGCTGATAGCCCTTACTATGCCTGACATATCAGCTAACTAACACCCCCTCACTCACTTATCATTTGAAGTTTATATTTCCTGACTTTTTGAGGGGGTTATGGCCTCTATTACCTATGGTAAGGCTTTGACCTTTTAATTATGCTTATATTACCTAGAGGCATCAGACGCTACCTGCCTTAAGTTATCTATATTAATACCATTAAACTTCACACAAATACAGGTAGCATCCTGTTAAAGGACCACTATAGTGCCAGGAAAACATACTCATTTTCCTGGCACTATAGTGCCTTGAGCGGGCCCCCACCCTCAGGGACCCCCTCCCGCCAGGCTCTGGGGAGAGGAAGGGTTTAAAATCTTACCTTTCTCCAGCGTCGGGCGGGGAGCTCTCCTCCTCCTCTCCTCCTCCTTCATAGCGACGTCATTTACAATGCTTTCCTGTGGACGCTGGCGTCTTCTCACTGATTTTTACAGTGAGAAGCACGCAAGCGCCTCTAGCGGCTGTCAATGAGACAGCCACTATAGGCTGGATTAACCCGATTATAAACATAGCAGTTTCTCTGAAACTGCTATGTTTATTAAAAAAAGGGTTAACCCTAGTTGGACCAGGCACCCAGACCACTTCATTAAGCTGAAGTGGTCTGGGTGCCTATAGTGGTCCTTTAACCCCTTAAGGACACATGACATGTCATGATTCCCTTTTATTCCAGAAGTTTGGTCCTTAAGGGGTTAAAGCTACTATTGTACTTTTACTTACTATACTTAAAATAGAAAAACTCCAGTTCCAGTTTCCAATCCGGATGCTATGTCCTCTTGTTAAGCTATGTTGTGTCTTTAACCATTATTCTCTCATATCTTTTTATATATTGTACTGTATTCATTCTGTGACTTTTGAATAATGAAAGATTGACACACAAAAAAAAAAAAAAAGGATAATGCTAGGACATCCAACACAGAATTTAAATAAATGCAGACACCATAAGGGACACTACATTTCGAGAAAGTATCTGGGGGCTTGATTGGAGTTTCCAATTGGAGAGAGACATGTAGGACCAGGAGCTGTAACAGGATTTGCAAAATTCTCTCAGTGGCTCAGCCCTAAAAATAAGCTTCTGGAGAGTCTAGAGGCACAAAATGCAGAAAATAATGCCAGCTATCTTGCATAGCAATAAAAACTTTGTGAGGGCCCAACCGATATTGTAGTAGGTAGTACGTATTATCAACACCATGGTGCCTACTGGAGACAGGAGGAGGAGACACAATGGTCTGGCTGTTTTTCTAGGTTTGGGCAATACTCCTCAGTTCCAGTGAAGGGTAGTCTTAATACTACAGGATACAAAGACATTTTAGGCGATTGGATGCTTCCAACTTTATGGCAACAGCTTGGGAAAGATCTTTATAATTTCTAGCATGACAGTTTGACGAGTTAAACTATTGAAATTTTTTTTACATAAGAAAGACTAGAATGTCCTTTAAAATGAAAACTCCAAAACCTAAAGCTTGCAGAAGTCCTAGTGGTTATCAGAGTGTCTACTTCAATTGCAATAAATGCATTCTGCTGGCCAATGCTTCACTGTGAGAAGCATTTGATTGGTTTGGAGATCAACAAAACTTAAAGTGATGCTCTATGCATTATAACTACTTTAGATCATTGCGATTGTTACAGCACCTGACTTCCCTGGTGCCATATATCAACTCAGTATTAAGCTATTTTCAAACTGTTCAACACTGAGGCATGGTCCCTAGGTGTTCGCAGCCATGTCCCACTGAAGATACCAACATATGTATATGATGATCATTCAGCAGATGGTCTCAGCTAATCACTACCACCCATTGCTGCTCTGGCTAGTGCAGAAGAAAACTTTTTTTCCTTTACACAGGAGGCCAATAAACTCCACAACACATCACCATTAAAAAATATATGTATTTATTAATAACACTGGAGTTTACCCAAGTATAAGGTACAAAAAGCATGTATTCTAAGTTTCTATACTAAATAATAAACAGTACATCACATAAAAGATGAATATGCTGCATATATGCAGCTCTCCTAGGAGCTAACTATAGCAATATGCCTGCACTTTTACTATAATTATAGTCAATTAAAATTATTTTGTTTTAGAGATCTCTTTTTATTTTTACAAGTGTACTTATTTCCTGTGAATTTCTCAGAAGTTATATTTGGTATTACACATTTAGCTTAGAGACTTTTTATATTTGTATTTCCTTCTGCTAGTGTTAAAAAAGGGAAATGGAAAAAAATGTATTTAATAGCTCTCACAGCACTGTGCATGTTTCTCTTTCCACCAAATATTTATGAGACTAAAAAGCTCAGAAAAAAAAAAAAAAGCTCAGAAAAAAACCTGCAGCACATTCCATATTTGGTACAGATCAAAAACAACATAAAATTCTCAGGTCCTCATGTGAGATTACACCGTAAAACAGATGCCACAACTGCTTATTCAGTCCCAAGAAAAAGTGAAAGCTGCAAAGGACAGGTTTGCTATTTACATTAATATGAATCTATCTACATGTAAAAAGAGACTTACTAAAGCGTTTATGTCTACAAATTCAGGGCTTAACATTAATGATATATCAACTACAGCTATGTCACAAATATTGAGAATTATATTAGATCTACTTTATGCATTACTAATTTCTGTATACGGTTGCCCTATACTACTGTAAATATATGTATGTGTATACTGTAAATCTTCACATCTCACCACTACCATACAGCGAAGCCGCACTACCTGTAACAGTGCCCCACCTACCAAGAGTTAGCTTGAACTGGCTTGGTTCCAAGAAAGAAGCTGGTTGTCTCTTTTCTTGCTGTAACTATCCAAGATCTGCTTTAAAGTGAATGCTGGTGGATAAAGGGACTCCAAGCCCAGGTCATAGCACTTAGTATAGTGATCAGCTGTGCAAGTTAGTGGAAGTACCCACGGACGATATTAGTCTGTATCGTCACACACACCTAAATTTCTCTCCCTAGATATCAGATGATGAAGATTGCTGCTCCTCATGCTTACTTGGCAGCTGAGGTATGTGATTCAATCTATCCAGTGACAAAAAAAAATCTCCAGGTTTTAGTGGTCCTTGTGCCTACAGTGTTGATTTAAACAACAAAGAAACAAGTTTATGTTGAAGGGAAAATCCATTCTTCTATACATTATATGAGAAGGTCTCCACTTTTTCATATTTAGAAGAAACCACTGAAAATGTCTTATGTTTGCCAGGATTTGAACAGCTCATTGTGTAAAAGATAAGGATGGCAAGGTCTCCCAGGTTTGTGATCTTGAGGAAAAAAAGAGCTTTTTCTACCATAAATGTAGGATGAGTTCCAGTTAATGTTTTTCTTTGTTCAGAAACATGCCTATTTTTTCCAGAAAATGTCAGACCACCAAAGATAAAGTGGGACCAATTCCCCTGAAAGACCACAATAAACTTTTTGTCTAAGTTAGGTTATACTGATACCTTAAAAGGACACTATAGTCACCTGAACAACTTTAGCTTAATGAAGCAGTTTTGGTGTATAGAACATGCCCTTGCAGCCTAACTGCTCAATCCTCTGCCATTTAGGAGTTAAATCCCTTTGTTTATGAACCCTGGTCACACCTCCCTGCATGTGACTTGCACAGCATTCCATGAACACTTCCTGTAAAGAGAGCCCTATTTAGGCTTTCTTTATTGCAAGTTCTGTTTAATTAAGATTTTCTTATCCCCTGCTATGTTAATAGATTGCTAGACCCTGCAAGAGCCTCCTGTATGTGATTAAAGTTCAATTTAGAGATTGAGTTACAATTATTTAAGGTAAATTACATCTGTTTGAAAGTGAAACCAGTTTTTTTTTTCAAGCAGGCTCTGTCAATCATAGCCAGGGGAGGTGTGGCTAGGGCTGCATAAACAGAAACAAAGTGATTTAACTCCTAAATGACAGTGAATTGAGCAGTGAAATTGCAGGGGAATGATCTATACACTAAAACTGCTTTATTTAACTAAAGTAATTTAGGTGACTATAGTGTTCCTTTAAAGATGAAGAGGAAGCAAGTACCTCTACAATTTGTTTATACACTAGCTACCAGAACTACTACTGGTGCAGCCTCACCAGGGCCCATTAGCTGCGTGGAGGGTGTATAATGTACTGTGGTGAGTCACAGCAAGGGATGTATGGCTAGGGATATATAAAACAAACAAAATTAATTTAACTCCTAAATAGCAGTGAATTGAGGAGGGAGAATGCTGGAGAATGATCTAAACACCAAAGCTGCTTCATTAGGCTTAAAGTAATTTTGGTGCTTACAGTGTCCGTGTAACGGGACCTTGTGAAAATTAGAAAATTAGATGTTTCCTTTGAGCTTTACTGAGGAACAAACTGGGACCTAGATGCTATCTATACAAGAGCCAACCTAGGGTCTGGAGTACTGATTGCCCCACCTCAGACAGCGTCATTGTGGTGTCATCGGCCAGTCCAGGTTACTATCAATTCATTGCAAATTTCACTGGACAAAATGTCAGTCACTTGCTGAGTGATCAGCTGATGCTGTAAGCCAATGAATGGTGATGGCCACAGCTTCAGTTTCTGTAATGGTTATGGTGCCGAGAGTTCTCTGACTATGTCATGAGGCAAAATGTCAAAGAGGTTTTTTGTTTTGTTTTTTTTAAACTGTAATCCTCATGTGTCAATGCTTCTTCTTTGGTATTGCTAATGCCGACGTTTCCTTTCTGCATTAGAGATAGCAATTCTGGCCATGTTTGGATGATTTAATTGTTCGATAAAGAAGCTATCAACCAATAAAATAAGTCCAAATAGCATCTATTTATTTTGAAAGGAACCTTCCAACGTAGCTATATCATAGAAGAGAGATTGACCATGGGTGCTTGGAGTACCAAGGTAAATCAATTTGTTAGAAGATTTTTAACTCCTTACCATGGGGCAGTGTCATTGAACTTTTAGCACCATAACCCTCTGCAGTGCACTATAATGTTTATGGTGCTTAAAGTGACTCGGTATATAAATTTACACTATTTCATTTTAGAAATGCCTCATATGTCTAGGACGTCAAGTTTAAAATAACACTTTGGGCTTAGCTTCTTTTGTTGAGTAATGCAATACCCCTTTTGTAGTTTACCAGTTTTTTTTTTAATAACATTTTTCTAGGGAATTTACACTGACTCACGATTCTAATTTTTACTTTGAATATGTTACTTGAATTTTCATAATAATAAAGAAACCAGGTGTCAAGATGAGAAGTCATATCTTAAATTATCTTATACGTCAAGAAACAGAGTTACAAACAACTGTCAAAACTACAGTAAATAAGTGTAAGTGTACATCCGGTTGCTCAGTAAATGTCCTTTAAGAGGTTCTTACTTGGTAGAGTTTTAGAGGGATGGGAGATTTTTAGAGGTTGCCAGAATTAAGACTCAATGGTGTTCATAGGTTGTAACAGGCAGACCTAGTGTGTGGAGGAATTTGCATTCTAAAATTTGTTCCCGCTGGAATCACAAAACGGCGTAAGTCGGGCCCTTGCTTTTGTTATAAGCAGTGAAATATTCCAACAAACATACCAATTACCCCTAAATAACATCCTGAATAAACGAAGCAAATATTAATTAAATGCTAACCATAAATGTCCATTCTAAGACTAATCCAACAATCCTAATCCAGTACCAAGTGATCGCAGTGAGAGCCAGTAACAATGATCTCAGTGCTTTAGTTGTCAACTAAAGCTCATGATCTCTAGATTGTCAACCATAGTACAGGTACACGGCAATCCTGATCTGTTCCGGGTACAGAGGCTACATCCAGCCCTTCAGCTTGAGCTGCATCATCAGATCACAGAAAACTAGAAGACATGGGCAGCCAGCAATATCCTGCTACATGCCATAATTGGCATATACAAAGAGAACCTACAAGCCAGCTATGCTTGCCTTATAACAAATGGCATTGGATGTATGTAACTTAGGGCCACTAAGATTGGATGCCTCAAGTATCCGTTAGGATTGCTGTTAATGACTGTTGCGTTTTGAGTCCAGCAATGACCTGGTTTTGTAGCAATTGGAAAAACCATTGACCAAGGGATTATGTAAATGGTGGATATACTCATACTATTGCCTGCTTCTGTTTGTTAACTGGCAAGAATTAAAATAGGGACTATAATGTTATATCATGCAAAATTGAATTAAAAATATGAAACCATTCTTATACATAAAATCTTAAATGCGATACTATTTAATTCGATTGTATTGTTTGCATACGTCAGAACACCATTTCAAAAAATTAGAAAGCTTTATGTATTCTTCTTAGTAAAACATCTTCTAAATAGACAGATAAATGCTGCCTATAGGCAATCATTGACAATCTCACAAGTGTAAATTACATGGTGCAACAGGTCACAACTTGCGCCTTGTGGAGAATTATTGTAATCCATTCAAGAGGTAAAAAATGTCAGTAATTTAATATTATTTACAATTATATATATATATATATATATATATATACATATATACATATATATTGTCTATATATAAAAATAAAACCACATGAACCAATTCCAATCTAATAGATTTACAATATTCTAAAAGAAAGTATTCGTAATACACTAATAAGTAACGGTTAGAATAAGCAAAAAGGAACAGTTCTCATGTAAAAACCAATACATTTAGGTCGTTAGTTATAAATTACGATTTCCAACATTTGGGAAGTGATTACTAATAAATGTTTTTTTGCTTTGTTTTTTAAATGGTACATAACATTTGTAAACAATCCTGAAATATATACAATATTTAAATATTAGTATAATTGGCTGGCACAAAACCTTGCAAAACTTAATTTAAAATAGACAACTAGATATATACTTCTACTGTAATAACAAATTGGCAACGTTAAAAAAAACTTGTTTAATAACCAGTTTAAAAACAATATATATATATATATGTAAATTATACAAGTAATATAGTAGTATATAGATATACATACAAGTAATGATACTAAATATAAAATGGTACAAGTAAGCAATACATTGTATATCTATATGTTGGGAAATACATGTTTACCTTCTGTGCCTAAAACACTCTAACAAATACATATAAGTATTTTAAACATACATACATCATTAAATTCATGCAGATGCAGGCCAGTCTTGCAATGTATTAAGCCATATAAACCTTTAGATTTACATTAGACCAGCATTTCCCATTGTTTGTGGACAATAGCACTGCAGGTTTTTTTTTTTTTTTTGCCAGGAAGAAGAATTATAATATAGGTTTCACCTTTTTTATACGTGCAGCAGCAGAGGCTCCCGATCCCCCCCTTGGGTATTAGCTATTGAGAGAGCACTAATAACTGGAAATGTGATGAGGACCGGACCTTCGGCTTCCAGGCCGGGGTAGGAAGAAGAAGGGAGGATGTAGGAAAGGAGGAGTAGGAGGCGGCAGAGATGTCAAAAACCTGTAGGTTCAGAGATTCGGCGCGGCGGCCATTTTGTGATCGCTGAGAATCCGGAAGTAACAGTGGGCGGAGCCGTATCCATGTTCTGAAGATGGAACATGAGCTGCGTTATAGAACAGGATGCTTCTATTCTAAAGTGTGTGTAAACTAGCTATCAATAACACACGTGTGTTCTTCACATAGGTATTCAGTCCTTGTGGCTGAAGGCAGAAGTAAATATATATACACTGGTGTCAAAAGCAATTTTACAGGCAATGTTGTGTATTGAATTACAGTAAAAAATATTTTTGTTATATTATTATAGTTATTTATAAAATATTTTACAAGGAAATATACATTGAGCTTTCTCTTGTTTTCAAGTATGTCCTGGGTCCACAAATCATTGCATTGTTACAATTAGGGTACAATAAACTACAAAAACAATATTAATACACAATAAATACAATATTTAACATAGAACATATAGGAATAGTATCCATATAGCAGTGTTCTAAAATAAAATTGTCAGATTATGGTATTTGTTCAGGATAAACAAAACGTTAAAGGACCACTATAGTGCCAGGAAAACATACTCGTTTTCCTGGCACTATAGTGCCCTGAGGGTGCCCCCACCCTCAGGGTCCCTCTCCCGCCCGGCTCTGGGGAGAGGAAAGGGGTTAAAACTGATCCAGGGACCAGCAAATCACCCCAACCCATCCAGCTGGAACCTGGGGCCTGGCTGTTGAAAGGAGATCCCTCCTTAACCAGGGTCTATCTGAAGCAGTGATTAATACTCTTCTAAAAGCAAGGAAACAGTCTACGTCCTCTTGCTATTACAGAATTTGGGAAACCTTTTAAACAATGGGCACCTCCATATTCTGAAATTCTGGCAGGCCTAGACAAAGGTCTCAGCCTCAGCATTTTAAGGTGCAGTCCTCAGCTTTATCTGCCCTTTGTAATACTTCATGGGCATATTACCCTCTCATCTCAAGATTCTTTAAGGCTGCTATACATTTACGCCCTCCGGCCAGAAACACTGCTCCTCCATGGGATTTACCAATGGTCCTGAAGGCCTTAACAGAATATCCCTTTGCATCGCTACAGGATATCTCTATTCAACGCCTCACTTATAAGACTGTGTTCCTGGTGGCAATCTCCACAGCCAAGCAAATTTCGGAACATTTCCAGGCGTTTTCTAGTGATGATTCCCACACTCTTGTTTTTCATGATAGAGTAATCCTAAAACCTAGAGAAGACTTCCTTCCTCCTCCAGCCAAGATTAGAGCTCACTCCACCAGATCCCTGGCTACATCTTGGGCTAATTGGGCAGAGGTTCCTCCGGATGACATCTGTAGGGCAACTACTTAGTCCACTCCAACAACCTTTATAAGACACTACAATCTGGATCTTTATTCTTAGACTACTTACTTTGGGAAGGGAGTCTTATTGGCTGTTAATATGCATAATAAAAAATAGGTATCCTTTGCAGCAATTGGAGTAAATTATATTTTTATTGTTGTTTTCCCTCCCTTTCATTTATATGTTTGGGTATTACCCATAAGTGATGCTGCCATGATTAGCCAGGAATAAGGAAAATTAAATTACATACTTACCTAGTAATTTTCTTTTCCTGGCTATTTATCATGGCAGCATTAATCACCCAATCTTCTTTCTTTTTAACTAGACTGAGGTATGGATGGAGGAGGGACCTCTCTTTTTCTCTTTTTTTTTTTTTTATTGGTTGATCCTATCCTGAACTGTTTAGGGGAGGAGCTACCTATAAGTGATGCTGCCATGATAAATAGCCAGGCAAATAAATTACTAGGTAAGCATGTCATTTATTTTTCCTTATTATTTTTTAACAAAACACAGATACAGCTATCAAAACTCTTTAGGTCGACAGGCCTCTCGAAAAACAAACGTACTTCTAACCAAATCATTGTCTTCTTTCTGTACATGCACAGTTTCGTTGTACCTCAAGTAAATCAGCTTTTGCATAAGCCTGAATTCTGTTTACAAGTTGTATCGTATGTCAATGCAAAAATAAAGAATAAAAAAAAAAAAAAAAAACTCTTTAGGTCATTGAGGTGCAACATCATACTTGTGCAAAAATTATAATTTCTTCAAAAACGCAGACACTCAAATTGTCTATATGTCACGACTGCTAGTGTGGTCCAACATGCAGAAACTATGTAAACATATACATAGGAGAAAAAAAAGGAAAAATAACAGGACCGAGCGTAAACGGTCCTTAGAATGGCCGGACTAATACGCTAGAGATAGAGGATGGTCAAAGGGAAAGCCGAGGTCAGGGAAGCCAGAAAAACTCAAATACCGTTTAAAAAAGTCAGGGGAACCAGAAATCGGAATAACCAGGAAAAGCCAAGATCAGAATACCAGGAAATCAGAATCACAAGGAAAAAGCACTCTTGGGAACCAGGAACAGGAAACCACGACAGGGCAAGGAACTGGAGTGAATTAAGGACTTAAATATCCCTCTCTGGGCTCTGATTGGTCAATTTTGAGGGGCGGAGCTTGTGATGTGCGCGACCACGTGGTCAGCCCCATCTTTGATTTGGGCGCACTGCGCAGAAGACGCGGAGGAGCGGTTCCCGGCTCGCCGACGAGCAGGTAAGCTCGCTATATCGGCGAGGTCGTGCCGGTCGGGCACGGATGCACCATGCGGCTGGCCTGGAGCCACAACAGTACCCCCACTCGAATACCGCTCACCGGACGGGAAGGAGCCGATTTGTGAGGGAAGCGGCTGTGAAACGACCGGACAAGACGGGGTGCATTAACCTGGTCAGAAGGAACCCAACTACGTTCCTCCGGACCATATCCTTTCCAGTCAACTAGATAAGACAAAATACCTCTGAAGATTTTGGAATCCAATATAGATCGAACTTCGTACTCCTCCTGATCACCCACTACCAAGGGCGGAGGAGGGGCAGCCACTTTAGAGTATCGATTGCAAGTAAGTGGCTTAAGCAAGAACACATTAAATGAATTGGTAATTCTCATGTGCGCAGGAAGTGCCAAGGAATAAGTCACAAGGTTAATACGACGGAGGACCTGAAAAGGACCTATGTACCGAGGGGCAAATTTCATGGAGAGAACCTTAAGTTTGATATGACGTGTGGATAACCACACCTTGTCTCCTGCTTGATAGACAGGATTGGCACCCTGTCTCTTGTCAGCTTGGATCTTAGCATGTTTTGATGCCTTCTGTAGTGCTGTATGAACAGAATCCCAAGTGTCATGAATAGAATTCAAACGGGCGTTCAAAGCAAGAATATCAGTGTCTGACAGTTCAGAAGCTAAAACAGTGGGGTGATAACCCTGATTTACAAAAAATGGACTATGATTAGAGGATTCATGAGTCGCATTATTTCTGGCAAACTCAGCCAATGGTAAGAGTTCATACCAGTTAGACTGATTGACATCAATAAAACAACGTAAATAAGATTGGCCCTCTCTGCTGCGCCATTAGTCTGAGGGTGATACGCTGAGGAAATGAAAGTTCTATACCCAATTGCTTATAAAAGGCATGCCAGAACCTAGAAATAAATTGGGTACCTCTGTCAGATACTATGTTTTTAGGCACTCCATGTAACCGAAAGATCTCGAGCAGATGGTAATTTTTTTAAGAGGTACAAAATGTGCCATTTTTGAGAATCTATCTATGACCATAAGGATTGTGTTATTTTCGTTTGAACTGGGCAGATCCACCATGAAATCCATGGCTAAATGGGTCCATGGAGCATTAGGTATTGGCAGTGGTTGTAACAACCCAGGAGGAGATTTGTGGGATGCTTTAGAAACGGCACATATTTGACATGCCCCTACATAATCTTTGATGTTGTTCCTAAGTGTAGGCCACCATAATCTCCTGGAAATAGCAGAGAGAGTTTTATGGACTCCAGGATGACTTGCTGTCAAATTATCATGGAATAGGGGGCGGGGCCGGGCCGCCGAGCCGAGCGGCTGCTATCCATGCCGGCTCCGGTTATAAATCGCATAAAATGCCGGAAAAAAACCCAAAACATACCCACGATTTGAGCACCGCTACCAGAGGCAAGATCAGGTGGAGAGGAACCGAGGAGAAAGGCGCTGAGACACATGCCGAGTAAACGTCACGCATTAAACACGACGAACCCAGACATCTGAGACATGCTGCATGAGTGGGGTCCACAGCGCACACGGACGGCACAGGAGACATGGATCGGCCACGCTCCCCCCCCCACACGGCCAGGGGGGTGATCCCGGCCCAAAAGTCAGAACTTTCAAAGCTGGAGGTGGAAGCGCGCCCGGAGCGAGATGCCTCCCTGTACAGAGCTAAAATGGCCGATGGGCAAAACACATACACACAGCAGAGATCCACGCTGGGGCGCCGCGGCCCCTAGGGTGGCTGGGCCCGCAACTGGGCCCTTCCGGGCGGTGGACAGGTCGACAAGGAGCCGGCCCTGATTCCCGGATTTGGTGGTGGTCCGGGGAAATATGCCCCCAATTCCGCGAGCCCGGTGGAGCTGAGATGCGCATGCCTGCCGGCGGACTGGTGGCCGGGGGGCGCGTGCCGGCGTCATGTAAGTGGCCGGAGGTGGGAGAGGCAAGACGGGGCCGGAGTTCCAGGGAGGCCCTACTGAGGCTGGGGAGGTGCATGAGACTGAGACCACGAGGACTCTATGGGGGGGAGACCGCCGAATGGCTCCGATCTCTGAGTGCCCACGGCGAGGTGGAACTCCGTTAAAGACACAGAAGCATGCCTTGAGGGGCGCAGGGGGGGTTCGGTCACAGCTGGGGGAACCGGGGAGACCCAGGGGGGCACAGCTAACTCGTCATGTGCATGCTTGCCCTGCAGCAACCATGGTGAGGACACACCAGAGAGAAGCCTGCAGAAATACCACCATGGGAGATGAGTCCACAAAGGACCATATCACCACACCGAGCGCCATTACGCCCCCTCCAGACAAGTGACTCAAGCTCTAAATCTTGTATGGGTTTTGCGGGAGTTAGACATACTACTGTTTCTCTTTGCAAAGAGCCATGAGCATCATACAGAATTTGCTTA